GCTGGGACCGGGAGGACGAGGTGGAAGAGCGGGGCGAGCCGAAAACTCGCCACCAACTCGAGAGGATGCACGCGGTGTTCCGCAACACCCTCCTTATGTGCGTCCTCTCGTTTCCGCAGTTCGGCCAGTTCGACATCACCCGGGAGGACCTGGAGAGCTGGTACGAGTGGTTCTATGGGGAGGACATCGGGGGCCGTTTTCCCCCGCCAGAGGACCACGTCCTGGCAATTGCCGAACGCAACGCATGGCGGAAGATTCACGAGCAGATGCACGAGGGCAGCACCCTCAAGGCGGCCATGCTGTCGGTCAGGCAGGACACATTGTTTTGGACACGTGAGGTCTATGAGAAGATCAGGACCTTTTCCAGGGGCCGCCCACAAACCAGGACATCCATGGACTACGCACCACCCCAGAAGGGCAAGAACAAGTCCAAGGGGAAGGGGAAGTCTAGGGGCAAGCCTGGGAGCAAAGGGAAAGGTAAGCCCCCCCAGCCGAACAATCAGGCGTCCAGGGGCGGTAACAAGCAGGCGGCCACCGATCCGAAAGGGAACCAGTTCTGTAACAACTGGATGCGCGGGCGCTGCCCGGGCAACTGCGGACGCACCCACAAGTGCAACCTCATCCTGGCAACGGGCCGCATCTGCCTGGGAGACCACCTCCCGCAGGACTGCCCGGGTTGACTAGGGGCGCTGACCCCGACCCCCCGGGAGGCCTCAGGTGCCGAGGGCCCTGATAAGGCCCGGGGGGGCGAGAGGGGGCGCAAACGCCCCAAGCAGGCACATGAGCCCCCTCCTGCAGGTGCCGAGGGCCCTGACACAGGGGGGGGACAGGCCAGGTGGCGGCCATCCTCGGCGGAACAAGGATGGGGACGGCAGAACCAGCGTGCACAACACCCTCGCTGGGGTCAGAACAACCACACAGCTGGCACAACGGCGGCGCCTCAGCCCCGAGCCACGGGTGCCGAGGGCCCTGAAACGGCAGGGACGGGACGGTTCCCTGCAGGTGCCAAGGGCCCTGACACGGGGGGCCGCGCCCAGCAGGCCCGATTGCCGGATAACTGGCAGCACACCGCAACGCCAAGGATCACGCCCAGGAGGCAGCCGATCCCACTTCCGGCGCCCAACATCATCAAGCAGGACCCGGTGGTTTTTTATAAGAGCTCGGTTGGGCTGAATGAAGGGGGCCAGCGCCTTTCAGCTACCCCCCTGACAAGTCCCACGGAGCCGTCACCGGGATGGGACATCTTCCCGTGGATGGAGAACATCCCGGAGCGTTTGGTACAGCGGCTGAGATGGACACAGGGCACATCACCCAAAGTTCCATCCAGTGGGCCCATTATTGTCCTGCTCTATGCAGGCAAGGAAGACCCAACTTCCTTGGACAGCTGTCTTCATGCCAACTACCCACACCTTTCCAGCATGGTGGTGGCGGTAGACATCCTACGATCGGGACCAAAAGGGAACCACGACATGCTCCAACCCGAGCTATATGGAGCTCTCTGCACGGCAGCAAAGCAGGGCCGAGTGGTCTTCATTGGAGGAGGACCCAACTGCAGGACATGGTCCATCCTGCGCCACATACCAAAACCGGGGGCCCCCACCCCGGTGCGAGGGCGCACTCGAGAGACACTTTGGGGCCTCCCACACCTGGACCAGGCCGCCCAGACTCAGCTTGATGATGACAGTATCCTCATTTTGAGGCAGATGTACATCACCAGCCTGGCAAGGGCCTCAAGAGCGGCGGTTTCTCTGCCAGGGCCAAAGTCCTTCTTGGAGCACCCGGAGGACCCAGTGGTGAGCAGCTCGCTGCCCAAAGCCAAGGAATGCTCATCCTTCTGGATCACGGAGGAGGGGCAGCTTTGGATGGAGGCAAACTCCTTGACAGCAATCTCCTTCGACCAGTGCCGCCTGGGCCAGCTGGTCAAGAAGGCCACTACGCTAGCCACGGATCTCCCAATTCAGGATTGGGATCAAATGCGGTGCACGCATCAGTCACATGTGGGCACCAACGAGTCCTCGACTCTTAGCAGATACCCTTGGGATATGATGGCAGGCCTGGCCAAAGCCATCGCTGTGTCACTCGCAGCGCCGGGGCACATCCGGATCCCCTCACAATTCCCGGGAAACCCTAAGGAACCACCTAAGGGGCGGGGGTCGGACCCCCCGGAGGGCCCTTCCCCCCGGGGAAAACGGGGACCCAATCAGGGAGGCGGTCCCTCCTCATCACACCAGGGCCCAAAGCCCGGAGGCAAGAATGCCCCGAAGCCCCGCCAGCACGGGCACATCCACCTTGAGGCAGACACCGTAAGCCCTCGTGGAACAATGAACCCAGACTTCCCATCTCCCATGCCCCCGATGGCCGGAGATGCGGAACAACTGGGGAAGGAAGAACATGGGGACCAGGTCCTGGACCGCCCCGAATGCCTGCCCGCTTTCAGGGTCCCACGCCTCATTGACCGAGTTGCGATTGTCCAATTGGGTTTCCGCTCACGCCCCCTGGGGGATGGGGGGGGGAAACCTTCCCCGCAAAGGCTCAACCCCCCCTTTCGGAGAATTTCCCCTTTGGCTACTTTGGGCGCCCTGATCATGACCCTTACCCGGCCTTGGATTGACAAGGTCCGAATGTCCCTGGCATCAGGTGCCACCACACACCCTTCCAGGAAGCCGACCTCGATGAGCTGCGGGCTATCCTGGGACCTAGGCACCTCCATGAACGATGCCCAGGGCAACCCTTCCTCCTGGACCTAGTTTCGCACTTGGCATCCCTTTCAGGTGACCCTGATTGGGAGTTCCCCCTGACACTGAAAGAGGGGGTCCCCTTGGGAGTCTCGGACCCTACCTTGACCTCCCCCGGAGTTTGGCCGACTAAGGAGGAGCTTAAGGGAGAAGCCTGGCTGGGGGAAGACCCCCCCCCGCCGGTGGCCCATGATAACTACCCAACGGCTGAACTCTTTGCCAGTGAAATCGAGGCAACCTTTTACGAGGAACGAGCCTTGGACATGGTGGACGGGCCCTTCACCCGGTCGGAGGCGGCAGAGAGGTGCCGCTGCAAACCGGAGGAACTTTGCCCGGGCCCCCTTGCGGGGATTGATGAGTCAGACAAGATCAGGACGATCTACGATGGCTCGAAAGGGGGAGCCAACGCACACATCCAGGCTCATACGGGGGAGAAGACCACTGCACCGATGGTTGGAGACTGCCTCCACGCCATCCACTGGCTCAGGACAGCGACGGACCACCAGGTCCGAGGGGCCTGATCGGGGCAGGGGGATGATGGATACCTCCGGCGGCCTGGGCGTCTCTCTGGGGTCGACACCCTCAGGGAAGGGACCACTCCCAGGTGCCGAGGGCCCTGATAGGAGGGCCCCCTTCCCCCCAACCCCCCCGGGCACGGAACGCCCTGGGGGGATCAGGGGGGAACCCCTGATGTGGCAGCCGCCGACACAGGGGGAAACCTTCATCATCCTCAAGGCGGATGTCACCAAGGCCCACAGGCGTATAAAAGTGCTCCCACGAAAGACTGGAAATACCAGGTGGCCTGCATCCAAAACCGGTGGTGGGTCAACAGAGTGGGCACGTATGGCATGGCCTCGGCACAACTGTACTGGGGAAGAAAGGCATCCTTGGTGCTCAGACTCTTGTACTACATCTTCCCTCAGGTGGACTGGCACTTAGTCTTTGTGGACGACTACTGCTGGGTCCTCAGATGCAGCCGGGCGGACTGGGACGCCACAGCCATCCTGGCTACACTGCTGGCGCTGGGAGTCCCGCTTTCCTGGAAAAAGACGGCGCTCTCCCCGATCAATACCTGGTTGGGCTTTGTGGTGGACCCAATCACGCCCTGTGTACTGCTGGCTCCAGTCAAACACGTCATAATCCTGGCCACTCTTAAACGGCTGGCCCAGGGGGACATCTTCACCAGCAAGGAGGTGGAACAAGCCCTAGGCCGTATTCAATGGGCTACTTCGGCATGCCCATTGACGAAACCTTTCCTCCAGCCCTTTTGGAGCTGGAAGAAGGCCTGCACCACTTCGGGCAGGCCACCGAAGCTGGTTCGTGCTCTGGCCATCCTTTTGGGGAGACTCTTCAACCAGAGGTTCCCACTGGCATCTCCGTTTGCTCCCACACTCCCATGGACGGGGGCATCTGATGCGGGAGCTGGCAGACAGGCAGACCATGCATGGGTTGGTGGTTGGTGCTCGGACGTGCCCAACCCCGACAAGTCCCGTGTGAAGTGGTTCCAGCACAGAATCACACCGGAGGGCGAGCCGTGGGCCTTCACTACTGGGGACCCGCAGCGGGCGATAGCGGCCTTGGAGCTCTTCGGCCTCCTCCTTTTGGTGAGGGCCGTTCTGCTTTGTGCAGCCGGCTCGGCTTCTCACACTAGGATCCTGGTTGCTAGTGATAACCAGGGAAATGTTTTCTCCCTTCTTAACGATTCCACTCGCAGGATGCCCAATGCGGCCATCCTCATGGAAATTGTGTTAACGCTGCATGACCAGCAGGTCATGTTGGGGCCGTCGCATGTGAAGCGCGACTTTAACACGTGGGCGGATGAACTTACTCATCCGGACCCGCAATTTCCGACTGAGAACCGGGTCTTCCCCTCAGTCGAAAGCGAATTGATCACACTGATCTTCGCTACTTTCCTTCCTCACCCATGATGCCGGGAGGGCATCCGGTGAGGTGGGAGGATTCCTCCCTCGCTGTGGGAGTGGCATCAATCCTACTCCCATCAGCTGCTGAGGGGAGCTGCCCAGTGGAGCTGGGCAATCCTCCCATTTTGGCACTAACCCTTATACGGCAAAAAGGAGGCACCGTTTTGCGAATAAGGCCTCAGTAGCACCAGAGTGGTGCTTTGAAGAGTCTGGCTCTCCTTTCGACTTCTATTTTGGGTGAGCGGCCTGGTGCCCTTTCCTCCTGCATAGGATCCCGGAATCTCCACAGGACCCATGGACCAAATGGAGACTTGGCTTTGTGGATGTTTGAAACGAATCAAAGGCGTGCCTTCGTCCACCACTACGTGGGAGAGGGCATGGAGGAGGGCGAGTTTTCCGAGGCGCGGGAGGATCTGGCGGCATTGGAGAAGGACTACGAGGAGGTTGGCATTGAGACGGCCGAAGGGGAGGGCGAAGAGGAAGGTGCGGGTGGTTTTGAGCAGCCTTCCTTTTTGGTTCGGGCATGACTGTTCCAAAGGATTTTGAGGGGGGGAGAGTAGCGCCTCCAAACCAAGCAGTTCAAGTCTAAAGAGCCGTTTTGATTTGACACATAAAGCATCTGCTTCCGGCCGAGCACGTCAGGCTACGGTGATGAGTTCTAGGCCGTCTCTGAGCGACAGGCCTCTTTGGAGCGCCTTGAAAGCGGCCGGCCATGATGAAAGTCCATTGTTGCTGGTCGATACTGTCACTAAGAGATGTTCGCTCTCCTTGGCAAGCAGCAAGGGGTTGAAGATGTCGCGTGATGTCGTATGCTGGCAACAGTGGCACAGATCCATCGTCTTCGGGGGTCAAGAACCAGTTGACCTCTGTAGTGCGGCGCTGCGTGGAATTGGGGAAAAGGCTTGGAGGAAAAGCTCGGGCTGGGTCGATCTCAAGCTCGAGCTTCGGGACAAACCACGGGTCCAGTGTTCAACAAAATCGTGATTTGCACCGATTGACAGGGATCGCTGGCAATTGACAGGTGGTGTCCATTGTTTTGGAGGTTCCAGATTCTGGACCTGGCTCAGAAACACCGAGTTCCTTTTTTTACTTGAGTCAAAGTTGTTGGGTCTGCCATTTTGGTTGCACCTCCAACGCCACGCTTTTTGGGCCATCCACCCACCTGGTCCCCTCAGCCTCTGCAGGCGAAGGCGGAGGCGGCGCCAGCGCCGAGTGCGGCCGTCGCCGCCGCGGCGGCGCCGCGCCGCGCCAAGGCGGGCCGAAGTCTTTGGCAAATGAAGGGGAGCATCAAAACACCGGGGGGAGGGTGGTTGTGGTGGTGGTGGTAGTGGTGGTGGTCTGGTTGGAGCGGAGCTGTGGCAGGGAGCTGAGTATCCAAATTCGCCTATCAAAGGAATGGGAGCCTTTGGGAGCTACCGATGGGAGTGGTTAAGAACATGGTAGGGGTGTTTAGTTGTTTGATTTTCCTTTGGTTTCCCTTTGCCTGGCGGTTCCCTGCCGTTCCCTTAGAGTTTAGGGTTTTAGTTGGTTTGAAGTCCTTGACTTTGGGAAGCATTTCACTAGTTCTGCCCTACAGATTATAGTGGAAGGAACCCAAAAGCCCACCCATTTGTAGAGGAAGTGTTTTTTTTGGATCGCCGCCTTTTTGGGGTTCTATGCTTTTTTTGTAGGGGAAGAATAAGCCAGGTTCGTAAATCCGGGGTCGACATGGTCGACATTTACTCTACTCATTTTAGATTCAGGTGTGTGACATGTCATTTGCTTTGATCGACCTGGTGCGCAAGCGTTCAGTTTCACCATTCTTCCCGGTGGGTTCCCAAGGTCCATCGCCAAAAGGTTCCTTTTGCCACCAGGCCCATTGATCAACAAGGACAAAGATTGCTACCAACTGTCAGCTCTAGGCGTCCGGTGCCGCTGAAGCATCGCTTCCCGGAAGTTACTGTGCGCTGGCACAGTGGACTCCACTCCAACTCCATATTACACATCCAACCACTAAGCCCCACAAGACAAAAGGTGAACGACTCCACTCACAACTCAATATGCACATCCAACCACAAAGCCCTACTAAAATTGCGGTGACTCACCTGGCTTCTCTTTTTGGCTCCACTTTTCGCAGTTCTTTGGGCGCCTTCGAACCGTGGGTGGTTCTGTCGATCGCCTTCCGCTGGTTTGTTCGCCCTCGCAAGGAGCCGCCGGAGGAGGATGAGGTGCGTGGGGGGCGAGAGACCTGGCCAGCGCAGGGTGTGGGTCAAAAAAATAAACCAGGAATGGGACCGCGGGGTCTTTGGTCCATGTTTCCGTTTACCAGCCCAGTCGGAGTTCCCTACTTGTGAACGAAGGCATCGGCTGCGCGTCCCCCGCTCGGTTTTCATGGTTGTTGTTGGGAACCATTTTACATTTTTGCTTATTGCAGTTGAGTGGTTGAAATCCCACCACCTAACTGCTAAACAAAAACATTTTTTTGCTCCCCTTCCAACGTCAACCAAGACCAGAGGTGTTGAAACCATAGCGTTTGTTGGTCTCACTATGTCTCTCTCGCTCCCTGAGTTCCGTTTCGGATGTGTACTTTTGGGGCCGGACCTCCACAGGGAGTTCTGGGCGCAGAGGTGCCAGCGGAGCCGTCCTCGGCGCCCTTGCGCCACAAGGCGAGATGCGGAGTCGATGCCTCGCGGGATTGGCGGACTCGAGATCGTCGGACTCGGGTGGGGTTCCTGTTTTTTTTTTTTTTCAATGATAACAATAATAATATGTGTTTCCTCTTTTCTTCTTCTTTTTTTTTTCTGAAAACGATCTCATCCTGCTGAAGCGGAAACTACCCCTCTCTAAATCAACCCAGAGTTGACAGTACCTAGTGTCAGGGGTACAGTAAACTTCAAACAGTGCTAACCAACAGAATGGGCTTTCACTCCAGCACCTTGTGATGTGTGGGTGTGTGCGTGTGTGTGCTTTTGTTTTTCTCCGGTGGATGTGGGCGCGCAGGTGTTTTGTTTTTTGAGGGTTTTGGTGTTTTGGTGTTTTTGTTTTCAATTGGGCACCGACACGCCATTTTGTGGAGGGTTCCCGTGGTTTTTGTTTCAAAGGGAAACCAACAGGAAAACCAACAGGGTGCCCCCCAAAAAAAAACACCCACACCCACACATCACATGGTGCTGGAGTTTAAGCCCATTCTGTTGGTTAGCACAGTTTGAAGCTTACTGGTGTACCCCTGACACTAGGTATTGTCAACTCTGGATTGATTTAGAGAGGGGTAGTTTCCGCTTCAGCGGGATGAGATCGTTTTAAGGGAAGTTCCTCAGATCTTCCGACGCAGAACCCTTTACCAAAGGCCAACAACCGGCGCCAAAAAACAACACAGTCTGAGGGTTCTTGTATTACACCCGAGGATTACACCCTTGGGAAATGACCCTGGTTCGAAATAACACGGCTTTATCCGGACATGTGCCTAAATGGGGTCAATACCCAGTAGGTGTATCCCAGGGTTGACTACAAAAACCCTTAGACACAGGCAATTTCGCTTGGGTCTTCCTTCAACATAAGCGCAAACAAGTGTTTCCCCCCCTCCCGCAATACGTTTTTCCTTCTTTGTGAAGAGCGTTTTTTTAAGGGCTTGCTGGTGCGATAGCTAGGGAATGATCGAGCCCGGCGTTCCCTTCTAAGGGAAACCGGAAGGTTTATGGGGTGCATGTCCTCATCCCCGCCGAGAACCCACGAGGTTGGGTCTTCCTTCAACACAAGCCCAAAAAAGGGGTAATCTCTAGGGGAATAACAAACATGATCCCAATAATAGTAGCGAGTGGGAGGAAGCAAATCCCATGAAGTCCCAATGTCCAAAGAGGATCAGTGGCGCATTCCCTTCGTGAGTCTTCCATTAATGACTATCCCAGTCGGGTTGCTCAACCCCGAATGCCCGCAACTCTTGGGGTTATCCCAGTCGGGTTGCTCAACCCCGAATGCCCGCAACTCTTGGGGTCGCCCTCTTTTTCGACCCGCCCATTTTCTGTTTTGGGTGTGGCAGCCATTGAGGAGCCGGATGCTCTCCTGGCACCCTGGGCCGGGGGGCCTGAGTTCCCAATCGTCGGGTTCCTGTTTTTTTGTTTGGTGGCTTTTAGTTGGTTTAGTGGCTGGGTTGCCAAATTGAACCACTTTTGTGGGTTTCGTGGTTGGGTTTCCACATGAAACCCACTAAAAGTTCAACTTTCAGCAGGTTGGCTCATCTTGTTTTTGGATTTGCGGAGCCCTAAAAAGAGGCGTGTCCTTTTTGTTTCGTTTAAAGCCAACCTTGAAAAGGTTGACTAAACAAGACAGATGAATTTGTATCTTTCTTGGAGTTGGTGCTCTCCTGTGCAGGTGTTTTCCCTTAAAAGGCCCTCTGGTGGGTTCAAATGTTTGTGGACAGGAGGAACATGGCGCAAAGGGTCACGCTGCGGAGCACTTCTTTTTTGAGAGCCCGGAGAATGGCAACCCGACTTCATCATGTCCAATGCTTTGGTACATTTTGCTTGGATGTTAGGACTAACTTTTTGCCAACTAATGAGTGTTCCATTAAACCACTAAGAGTTAAACTTTTAGCAGGGGAGCAGAAAGCAACCGAGAATGGGCAGTTTGCCAGGGAAGCCAGCCAACACCGCGGTTAGTCAACTTGGAGAACCAGCTGTTCAGACACAACATGCGGAAAAAGGAAGGAGCTCGTCCACACATCTTACGAACAAACACCAAAAACAAAGCGTAAAAGCAATCTAGTTAACACCACGCACCCCCCCAACAAAAAAAACAAAAGAAACAAAACGGTAATAATAACAAAACGTACCAATAATAAACCAACCAACACCTCCGCCTTCGTCCGCCTCCGGTTTCCCGTTTGGCGTTTCGCCTGGAGGCGCTGGATGCGGGGGAGGGCTGGGGCGGCATGCGGGACGCGTTTCGGGTGGCTCTGGAGGCGGGGGGGCCGCGGGTTGCGTGCAGCGAGGGTGCCAGGGCGCCTGTTGGGCGCCGTTCGGTGGAGGGTTTGGGAGGGTGGTTTTGGTTCTTGCAATCCAATAGTTATTGGCTCGTCTTTGTTTGGAGGTGGTAATTTGTTTTCTCCGGTTTTGGTACGTTTTGAGGGAAACTGACAAGACAACCCACCATCGTGGTGGTCCCCTACACAAAGACACACCCGACTACCAAACAGGCCACGAATTTTCGAAACTTTTCAACTGGTGCCGGTTTGCTTCAGAGTGACTTGTGGCTTCGTTTCAAGCAGGAAGCCACAACTTGGGTTTCCCATCCCAATGCGACCCGGAAAGCCACCCGCCCAAAAAAAACAAATGAAAGGTTATGCTCAACACCCCCCCTTCCAAAAAACATATGAAAGGTTATGCTCAACTTACAAGGTCAGCAATGGGTGTGTCTTTTTGTACGGGTTCCCTTTTGGCCTAGGGAAGCCAACAGGAAATCATGCTTGGGTTCCCCTATTTTGAGACAAACCCAAATAGACAGCCGATTCCAACCACCCTGTTGTCCAGCGAATTGGTCAAATGGTGCGTCTTGGATCTAAATGAGTCACTGATATCCATTGGCAGTGCTCTGGCGTAGAGAGGCAGTTCTGACCGGGTTGGACCATGGCCTGGCTCCAGATTGGGTCCAACTCTAGTGAACTCTACGGCGATTTGGGTTGGATCTA